ATTAAGACACTCAAGCTTCAATGATAACCAACCAAAACAACCAAGCCTCACGAATTGAGATTCATAAGCCAAGAAACCCCTCGCGATTGATTTTAGTGGAAAGAGATCGAAACCCTATATAAAAAAAAAGAAATTTACCCAAACAAGAGTAAAAACAGGGCGAAATCGAGTAAATTCAAAAGTAAAAGTATATGATTTATATACGATCTTAAAATAGGACACCACATTACATTACGAGGTCATTTCGTAATATTGAAATTGGTTAAATCCGTCGATTCCGCTGAAATTGATCAAGTTTTGACCGAAGCAGCAAATCAGATGGATATGCCGAATTATAAAAAAATTATATGTAAATTAAATTCTATTACTAATAAAATAAAGAAACAAAACTTAAAATACCTAAAATTATCCTTTACAGTAACTTTAGTCAATTCAGTATAACTCCAACCTTACTTATTTTGACTATAAAAAATTAATACATGAAATCAAAACTCGCGTATTTAATGAAAAAATTAATTGATAAAAGTGATAAACCAAATAGGGATCATCAAAACGTTCATACCCTTTTTATAATATACCAGTATACCACCTAAACCCTATTTTATTTTATTTTTTTGCAAAACCCTAAACCCTATTTTTCTTCGCCGTTATTTGAATGTTTTCTCCTTTCTCTCCACCTACGCCCCCGCCCATCCATCTCCATCTTTGGCTCCTCACCGTTTCCTTAAATTATATACGGAGTATATCACTAAAATAAACCAAATTACATTATTCTTTTCCTTAAAATACATTGAATAATGTTATTGACACATGGAAGGAAAGTTACAGACAATTACACATTTGACCCAGCACATACTACCTATATATATTGTTATATACCCAGACGTATTTACATGTCGTACATTCAAATAATAAAAGCTAAGGAACCTTTTTTCGATATAAAAATGAACTTTTAAAGTATAAGATGAACCTACTTATTATTTAATGAGTATTATATTATATGAAAAATGAGCAGAATAATTAAAATTTTAACCAAATGGGAATGCGCAATCAACAACTTTACGAAATGTGCAAAATTTAAATAATTATAATATTCATAGACTTAATTTGACACCATCCAACGTTAAGCTTCTATTCTCTGTTCAACGAAGAGATTGAGACTCCAATCGTTATGCAATGACCATTAATAAGAGTCTCGACAGTCATCGAAAAAGTTTAGCATCATACTCTATCGGTCCATTTTTTGTATGGGCAGTTGAACACGGTGGTATCGAGAGTAACCACTCTATTTAGATAAAAATTTGTGATATAAGATGAAGATTAACGACCAACTAAGTCTGTATTGCATGGTGTATAGTGTATACATAAAATTTTATAGTAATGTGTAATTTCCGTTGACAATCTCATGGAAATACATTTGACTTTTATAATTTATTCTTTTTATGTTTTTTATGGTTCTTCTTATGTTATTTTACAATAACATACTAATTTAGGAATTTATTCAATCTTTTTAATAAATCGAGGCATTATTCAATTTTATGTAGTTTATTTTTTATATAATTGCTTCTAAATTTTTATGTAGGTACTTCACTCCCATGCAATGCACGAGTGGAGTAACTAGTATTATTATATTCCCGGACGTATTTACATGTCGTACATCAAATAATAAAAGCTAAGGAACCTTTTCTCGATATAAAAATGAACTTTTAAAATATAAGATGAGCCTACTTATTATTCAATGAGTATTATATTATATGAAAAATGAGCAGAATAATTAAAAATTTAGAGGCCGTTTGGCAACCCTCATTTTCGGCTTATCAGGCTTATGAGCCAACTTTTTTACCAAACACGTAAATTTTGCTTTCGCGTGCTGAATTGTGTACGTAATAAGCCGAAAAAGTAACGGTGAAGTTACTTTTCTGGTTGTATTGGCTGAAGTTACTGTAGATGACCATTTTAGCTATTTTTACATATAATTTTTTCTTTATTTTATTAATAAAATATATATTTAAAAATATTTTTTTCTTGTATCACCAGAATCAACCAATGCAGCTATTTCAGCCAGAACTTCATAAGTTTCAGCAGAATCAGCCAAAACAGCCGATTTTCGTGCTGCCAAACGGGCTCTTAACTAGATGGAAATGCGCAATCAACAACTTTACGAAATGAGCAAATTTTTAATAATTATAATATTGTAGTGTGTTATACGTAGTAACTTCTGTCTCAAAATCAAGCTTACAAATTTTTTGAGCACAAAAAAGAGGAATAAAAAACTAGCACCCCACATTAGTGTAGTAGTGAAAAAGTAAGTAAATTGGATTGATATGATTTAAGTAAAATAAATGGTAGATTCTATGGTACCGATAAGTACCATACCTTTGTCCACATGGACCAATGAGAATGTAGCAGTTGAATTATTTAAATCTAAATTAAAAATGATAAAGTGATGTGATCCAATCAAATGAATGATAGGTACGGTACTCCATCTTTTAGAAAGTTACTGGCGTTGTCACCAAAATAAATAGTAAAGGAACTATAAGTGACATGTAGGATCATTTGGACAACTAAAAAGATAAATAACCCGTATATAACTTGTAGGCCTTTTCCATGAATAATACTCCGTACTAAATAACATTCGAAAGACAAAAATATAGCTTGTTTTAAAAAATTTCAAAAAAGTGATATATTTAATGACTAGTTCACGGTGACTCATAATCTACAATGATTTGTCATTCTAAAATGCATTAGTGACTAATTCACAGAGACTAGTCATTTTTTTGTTCAAAAACATAACTAGTCATATTTTTGCCTAGAGAAACTCTATTAGTAATATACATGTCATTTTTTTTAACTTTTATTTTGGGAGGAAGGAGTATTAGGATTGGCTAAGGGCCTGTTTGGTAACAGCTGCAACGGCTGTATTGGCTGAAAAGGCTCAAAAGACTTTATATGCTGAAGTGGAAGTGTTTGGTAATATGTTGGCTGAAATGGTTGATTGTGAGTAAAATTACTATAAAGGGTATTAACTTGTTTGTGTTAGATATATGAGTGTAAACTTCACTAGTAAATTAATTTTGCTTGATTAGGTTATTATTAGATTGCTTAATTAACTTATGAGTAAATTAATTTAAAATATACACTTTCATATTTCAATTAAATATTCGGAGTATTAAAAAGCTGACATGTACTTAAATTAAATTAAAATAAAATGAAACAAAATGAAGTATTTAGCATTACTTGTACCTGACCACGAAACTTTTAAACTGGAGCAACAAAACAAGTTTTCAAAACTAATGGAGCGGTACTGTGAGTGAAATGAGTATGTGACTCCAGACATGAATAAAGACGTTTAGTTTAGGTATAGAACGTAAAAGGGTCATTTCGGTTGTCAACAGTACAAAAATACAAAACAGCTGAAAAAGTAAGTAAGTTGTTGTTTTTTTGGCTGATAATAAAAATCAGCCCAAATAGCCAATTGAGCAAGTGTTTGATGATTTTTTTATACATTCAGGCTTATTAGCCCATTTTGGATGCTCCAAACAGCCTCTAAATCTCAAAAGAAAAAGCATCACGTACACTACTTTGGTATTTTAAAACATGTTTTCAAATAATCTACCCCAAACAAAAATCCATACGGAGTATAATATAATATGACTTGGAATTTTAATAATTTAATCCATGCAACACGGAGTATAATTTAGTCCGTATGTTAATACTCTCCGTCTCCTTTTATTTGGTCAAACACTACTTTCCAAGTCAATGATGTTAAACTTTGACTGATTATATATTTATATACGGTTGTAATATTGATAATATAAAAATGATTTGAAAATGATCTTTGTTAAAAATAGCATCATAAAAGTATAAATTTATTAAGTTTATATATATTTTATTAAGTTTATTAAATTTATATATATTTATTAAGTTTATTAAATTTATATATATTTATATATAAGTTAAAATAATGAATCAAATGTATCATTGACTAAACCATTCAAAGTTGGCTATATAAAAAGGGACGAATGTAGTATTTCTTTTATGATACATATGATTCGAACAATATCGAACCCGCACGCGTAGCTCAGTTGGTTCAGTGGTGGAAAATTTGGAACAATGACCAAGGTTCGAAACCCGCAGCGGTGGTGTGGAGGTTACAGCTCCTGCGTGCTGGGCTGAACCTCCGATGCGCACGGGCATACAGTCTACCATCATTGGACCGACTGAGTTATCGTGACTTACATCCTCCCAAAAATTCTGTTGGGTTAGGGTGTGGGGGCTCTTGGGTGGGAGATTCCACTTTTTTTGGAACAATGATTCAAACAATATCGATTATGATAGTTTCAGGCTTTAACCGGTTCGTGATACCGCCCCTCCATAATGAAAAGATCTTCCCACTTTCTTTATTCAACCCTAACCAAATATTTTTATTTTTAAATCTTCCTATCATACCTTCAATAATTTTGAAAATAATATACTATTACAATTAGTTTTTGGGATTTATCCATCATTCCATAACATATTCTACCGTTTTTGCATTATATTCTCAATAATTTATATTTTCATTCACTGTTCATTTGCTTTCACAAAAACATAATCTTTTTGTTATCGAGGGAGTAGATTTTAATAATTAATGAGTTCAAAAAAAGTGTGAACTGAAAATATCTTTTGAGTGGCTAAGGTCTAGGAATTTCTGGGCTCTGCTTTAATAGTACCATAATTAAATTTGCCCATGTGATAGGGCTGGTTCAACGCCTCCCGTTACTTGTAAGTTAGACAAGACCTCATTGCTTGTCTTTAATTGAAAATGACAATTAATTAAAGACAAAAGGCAATAGCTTCTCATACTTCTCCCACTCACATGGCCTTTTGTTTCGAAAAATCTAGCAGAAACAGAGACTATTTTGTCCACATGCATGCCATACACACGTATAAATATATTCTTTCTTTATTTATTTATGGTACTCTTTATTTCCCCAAAAGTTGGCACATTTTTATCCTGAAATTTATTTAAGAATAAATTTATTTAAAAGATAAATTTCCGGTTATGCATATTTTGTATCCGGTTTAACCGGTACCTACTCACAAAAAGTCCGGTCATGGTTGAGGTATTATAAGGGGCAGCTTAATGGTGCATTCACATTTTGTGATGTTGCGGTGCCTCTTACAAATGTACAAATCAAATCATGACATGTCATTTAATCAAGCAATATCAACTTCATTAACATCTTTCTTCCCCTTTCTTTTATGCTCCGTATTACTGTATTTTTTTTATCAATTTACATATTAGTGCTCACATTTTAATATCATCCCGTGGGTCCTAGGTAATCACGGTAATAGCAGGAAGTTTTTGGGGACTACCGGCGGGGAGGTGATGGTGGGGTCGGCGTGTTATTCTCCCCGGTCCTGGGCGGTAAGAGTGCGCTCAGTGCTGCTGGGTTTAAGCGAGGCCCACGAGGATGGCAGAGACAGCCGCCTAGACGTCAATCTGAGGGACCACCGGGACGAGTTGTAGGGCAGCATTCGCCTCACTGCTCTTGTGTTTTTCGTCTAGGAAGGTACGAGCGTCCGACTAGTTGGCATTGATTTGGCCACGGAGATCATCTTCAGGATCGATGGTCTCCTGGACCTCCTCGGCGGTTTTCTGGGCCGCCTCGTTCCGTGATCGACTTCTCCTGCCGGAGAACTTTCAAAGTGTAGATGGTCTTAGATCTTGTCTTCTTCATTGATGTAGACTGTTCTTCCTCTCAATTGAAGCACCAAATGATAGCTTCCAGGTTAAGATGAAGTGTTAGAGAGAAGGGAGAGCAAGAACTTGCAACAAATGAGTTGTGAACCCCTACAACTATCCCCGATGAGAGTATTTATAGGGGAAATATGGGATGGGCTCCCAGGTCATGGGCTGAGAGGCCCGATTACAATAATGTACCACTTACATGCATCCTAACCCGTAAGTTGGGTCGTGGAATTGTAAGTCATAGTCTTCGCCACGAAACTATCCCACTCTTGTTTGGTAAGTTGGTCTTTATACTTCTCAAAAGCTTCCTCACAATCCTTTCCCATTTGATGAATCTTATTTATGAAAAGTGATCACAATCGATTTCTCCAATCTCGGTGCATTTTGCCCAACTTTTTCAACAATGGTTTTTTCATATTATCCTCCACAGCATAGTCATGTTGCATGATAACATAAAAAATAAAGTGTTAGCGTATATTATATAGTGAAATGAAGATAAATATTTTGGCTAATAAAATTGGAGATTTTGTAGGTACCTGTATCTCTTTAAAGATTTGATCTTTATTCGCTTTTGAAACTTTCTTCCAACTATCAATGTTTATACTCACTCGGGAACGTACCATCTTCCCCATGAATGATTTAAACTCTTCAGTCCACTCACCGATGACAGCATCTGTATCAGCAAATTCAATTATTTTTCGCCCCTCGCTGTCTCTTTGACCGCCACCACCGCCATGAGGATCTTGATTATGACCAGGCTCATCTCCGTCGTCGTCGCTCATAGTGTGTACCTGCAATTCATAAGCATGCATAATGATTAATAATAATTCAATATTAAATATAACTTACAATTCAGTATTAAATTACTTAACTCAAAATCCGAGGGACCACCGGGACGAGTTGTAGGGCAGCATTCGCCTCATTGCTCTTGTGTTTTTCGTCTAGGAAGGTACGAGCGTCCGACTAGTTGGCATTGATTTGGCCGCGGAGATCATCTTCAGGATCGATGGTCTTCTGGACCTCCTCAGCGGTTTCCTGGGCCGCCTCGTTCCCTGATCGACTTCTCTTGCCGGAGAACTTTCGAAGTGTAGATGGTCTTAGATCTTGTCTTCTTCATTGCTATAGACTGTTCTTCCTCTGAAATGAAGCATCAAATGATAGCTTCCCGGTTAAGCTGAAGTGCTAGAGAGAAGGGAGAGCTAAAAATATAGAGAGAGAAAGAACTTGCAACAAATGAGTTGTGAACTCCTACAACTATCCCCAATTAGAGTATTTATAGGGGAAATATGGAATGTGCTCCCAGGTCGTGGACTGAGAGGCCCAATTACAATAATGTACCGCTTACTTGCATCCTAACCCGTTAAGGGCACAAAAGTGATCTCTACTGGCCACAGGCCTGAGGTGCGAAACAATGAGTTTGGAGAATAATCGCTTACCTGACTGATAGCCCTAGTATTGTATTTATAGTACGGATAATAAAATATTTTGCAGAAGAGTCCCTAATATAACCGCTATTACACCCTCTCAATCTGTGCGTGGGAAATAACGTGCAGATTGGAACGTAAAAATTCAAAACGCTGACTAGATAAATTTTTGGTAAAAATATCTGCAAGCTGGAACTGAGTAAGGATATATTTGACGGTGAGATCCCCATGAGCAACACGTTCACGAACAAAATGATAGTCTATCTTGATGTGATTGCTCCGATCGTGCTGAATAGGATTAACTGCAAGGTAGGATGCTGAAACATTGTCACAAAATAATTTCACATGACTAGGTAAAGCAATGCCCATGTCGTAGAGCAAGGAATGTATAAACAATGTGTCCTTGACTGTACACGCCACTGCACGATACTCCGTGATGACTTGGAGACAGTAGGTTGCTTTTTAGAGCGCCAAGAAATAAGATTGCCACCAAGAAAAACAGCATAACCTGTTGTGGAGCGGCAAGTATCTGGACAACCCACCCAATCGACATCAGAATAGGCAACAACCACAGATATGCTCTTACCAGATCGCAGCCATAAACCATGCGAAGAAGTACCCTGCAAATACCTGTATATTCTTTTGACAGCAGCAAGGTGAGTAGTACGTGGAGCATGCATAAACTGAGAAACTAGGTGAACGACATATGTAATATCCGATCGGGTAATAGTCAAATATTGTAATGCACCTACCATGCTGTGATACTCAGTGCCATCACTCAGAAGGTCTCCATCAGTGAGAGATAAAGTAGCGCGGGTAGGAAGAGGTGTACGACCTGGTTTAATTGTATGAAGATGAAACCGGTAGAGAAGATCAGTGGTATATTTATGTTGAGATAAGAAAAGACCATGAGGAGTACGAATAGCCTGAATACCCAGAAAATAATGAATGCCACTAAGATCCTTCATAGTAAATTGACTGGATAGGGTGTGAATAACCTTACTAACCAGAGATGGTGTGCTACCGGTGATAGGTATATCATCAACATATAATAAGATGTACATAGTCGCTATCTGTGTTCGAAAAATAAACATAGAAGAATCAGACCGACTCTGAGAAAAACCACATGAAAATAAGAACCCGCTAAACCTAGGGGTGGGCATAAAACCCGAACCGAACCAGTACCGAACCGTCCCGTAATGGTACCGAACCGTATACTGGGTATTTAAACGGTTCTACAGATTTTTATCCCGTACCAAAACTGTACCGTTTGAAACGGGTACGGGAGCGGTCCTAGATTTTGAGAACCGAAAATACCGGACCGAACCGTTTGTAAATAATGCATTTAATTTTTTTATATTTTTTCTATATCAATAGATCTAGACCAACAATTTTATACCCCAAGTATGTATTCATGTGTCCCTAAGATATCTAAAATGTGTTGTTTATATATATATTACTAGTTTTTCTTTTTGGATAATTTATGTTATGTTTTGTTATGTATTGAAAGAATATTAAAATTTTAGAAATCATTGATGATTATTTATTTCTAGTAATGTAGTGTACATGACTTTTTGTTGTATCATGTTTGTGCATTTTTTACAACTTAATTAATATGGTTTAAATCTTAGCTCTCAAGGTTCAACTATAAATTAAATTAGAACTACAGAGTAATATTTAACCTAGAACGAAGAAGAAGAACGTTGAAGATTTCTATTATATTCAACAATTTGATGATATTCGTTTTTATATTTTCACATGAACTTAGTAAATTAAAAATGATATTTATCTCGTGCGTCATCATTTTGCTATATATTTTCATAGTTGTGTTGCACTATTTGTGTATTTTTGAATTTTAGTACTAGGTATGCAATTTCTTATATTTATTTCAACATTTCATGTGAGTTGGTTGGTGTGATGATATCTACTAATTGCAAGATTTGTTCAAAAAATTTAGCATGTGTTTGGCATTGTACCGTACCGTTTTGTACCGTTCCGAAACGACATGGTACCGAACGGTTCTATCCTGGGAACCGGACCGTACCGGACCGTTAAAAACCTCACGGATACATTATGGGTTTTACCAATTACCGGACCGTTCCGGACCGCGCCCACCCCTAGCTAAACCTGTGAAACCACGCTCTAGGGGCTTCTTTGAGACCATAGAGCGCCTTACGGAGACGACATATATGAGAGGGAAACCGGGGATAAATAAAGCCTGACGGTTGACGCATCTATACCTCCTCAGTGAGATGGCCATGAAGTAAGGCATTTTTGACATCTAATTGACGCACTGACCAACCTAACGAAATGGCAACAGAAAGAACAAGACGCACAATGGTGGGTTTGACTACAGGACTAAAGGTTTCAGAAAAATCTACTCCAGCCTATTGGTTGAAACCCTAAGCTACCAAACGAGCCTTATGGCGCTCTATGGAACCACCAGATAAATATTTCGTCTTATAAATCCATTTACAACTTACCACATTTTTAGTCTTGTCACTAGGTACTAAGTCTCAAGTTTTATTAGCAATAAGAGCATTAAACTCATCTGCCATGGCTGCCCGCCAAACTAAATGTTTATTTGCTTGAGAAAAACAAGTGGGATCACTCGGGAGAGCTAAAGTATTCAAGGTAAAAATTGTTTTGGATTTAAAAATGCCATCTTTAGCTCTCGTACGCATGGGGTGAATATTTGGAGCCATGTGAGGAGGGGAGGGGGGCGGTGTAGGAGAGGATTGGGGAGTGGTGCTGGCCGTGGGTGAAGAAGGAGAGGAGGATTGTGGGGTGCTGGTGGTCGGGGTATAGGGTCTGAGACTAATAGCGGGGGAATGGTCAGTTGGGCTGGGTGGCAGAGGCTACCTCAGGATATGTGGCCAGGGAAAGAGGTGGGGCATGCAGTGAGTTTGAGGGAGGTGAGGTGTGGGACGGTGGTGATATGCGGTCCGAGGTATATGTAGTTGACCAGAGAGAGAGGAGTGGAGTGGTAATGTTGGGCTATGGGAAATTAGTTTCATGGAAAATAACGTCCGTGCTGAGGTAGACTCGTCCAGTTTTGGGGTCGAGACACCGGTAACCCTTATAGCTCAGAGCATAGCCCAAAAAATACAAAGTATGAATCGTGGGGAAAGTTTGTTAAAAGAAGTAGCAACCAAGTTCGGAAAACACGCGCATCCAAACACACGCAAAAAACTATACTCAGGGGGTTTGTTAAAAAGTTTCTCGAAGGTAGATACATTACTCAGAACAGGTGTGGATTGTCACGCCCCGGACCGCATCCGAGCCACGTGGACAACCGTCGTACAACCCGATAAGAACAACAACAGTTCATCCCTATTGAATTGTACAAGACGTCCGATTGATTATATTGCCAAACCGATTAGTAAACACATACAATCAACATCAATATCATAATCAAACAAATACGGAAATAATAATACGTTTGATACTTAGCCACACGTGGCAAACACGGGCACGCAGGCCCCCAACTGTTTTAGGGAAAACATTGTTCAAAAATCCATGAGCAGTTTATAAATTTCAAATACGAATGGAAGCACGAACCACGTCTTGCTCCTTGGACGATCACCCTAGGCAAATGTGCAGGTAGTAGGACTTTAGCCTTAACCTGAAAAAATGTGAGGGCCCCCGGAGGGGTCAGTACTCCATAGAAGTACTAGTGACAAGCATGCTATATGAAGAATAACTAATGTTTCAGACACAAGACCCAAAAACAGGGTGATACATATATAAAGATGTCTCTCATCCACCCTATGATACATACTATATATATACTCATAAAATACTCAACCCGTAGGTCATTTACCTTAAAGAGTCTTTTAGAGATAAAGTTCTTACCTGACTTTTCTCACTCCTTTCCCGGTTGCCTAGCTCACAAGCTATAGTCTACCTTCGATTCATACTACTGAGTGTTTTAGGATCATTTACCGTCCAAGGCACTCAACCCAACCTGGAGTATTTAGGATCATTTACCGTCCAAGGGTACTCAGCCCCACCTGGAGTATTCTGGGTCATTTACCGTCCAAGGGTACCCGACCCCGCCTGGAGTATTCTGGATCATTTACCGTCCAAGGGTACTCGACCCCACCTGGAGTATTCTGGATCATTTACCGTCCAAGGGTACCCGACCCCACCTGGAGTATTCTGGATCATTTACCGTCCAAGGGAACCCGACCCCACCTGGAGTATTCTGGATCATTTACCGTCCAGGGGTACTCAATCCCCAGTCTATCCTCTACCAAATCCTAACCTGGATATGGCTAACCTTTCATTCCTTTAACTATGGACAATGCCTAGCCCTATAGTCATATAACAATCCTTAGGAACCATCGTGGGCGGGTCCCACCTGAACGGCCCACGTTAACCTACTCAAAACTGCCCGTTTTGAGCATAAACCAATACTCGATCGAGTATCTACCCATACTCGATCGGGTATAGGAGACAGTAGCCCTCTGGTGCAATTCTTCAGCAAATGCCCGGGTGGGTACGTGTCAATACCCGGTCGGGTATGGCAGTTGACTTGGCGGTCAACTCCCGTTTGACCACCCAAACGGAGTTCAATTAACGTGAAATTTTACACACATGTACTTCTTGACGTCCTCAATCCAAAAATACTAATTTGGATCCCTAGAACATAACACATAATAATTTATCACATTTTTAATCATCAAACGTAAATAACATGCTTTTCAACTATGTTTTATATATAATCATGGCATAAGCAAATACTTGATTATCCTTAATTATTCCATAAAACATATTTTTGATTACTTTAGGTAA